TGAAAAGTAGGTACAATTCAACCTAGTTTTACATCACTATTTTTTCATTTCATTTCATTTATTAATAAAATCAGTAGCACAACAAGATCAAAAGAAAGATCTTTTATAGCGCAACAAAAAATTCATAACAGTACATACATATAACTAAAACAGCAAAAATTACTTAAAACTAAATAAAAGTAACATAATATAATTAACAGAGTAGTATTTTTAAGTGAGTTCTACAATTCCAGGACATATACTTAAAATAAGACTTAATTAAACAAGTAAATAGAGAGCACATCACAGGGACTGAAGTGAAGCTAACGGAAATACGCATACAGAACATTTTTAGAGTTGCTTTTGTTTAAACTACTGCGAATATGGGATGGAATAGAGTTCCAGATGCGGATAGCATTGACAAAGAATAGCCGTGCAGAGCTGAGATAATTGTAGGTAGGAACAGTCAAGTCCTTTACTCGAGTGGATTTGGGGAACGTTAATTTTTCATATGGATATTTGGGTGTCTTATCTGTCATGAGACGAAAAAGGAATATACAATTTCTAGCTTTAAGATAGTCAGAAATTTCGCAGCCTCGGAGGTGCGTTCTCCAAGCGGAAATATGCTCATATTTCGCTAGCCCAAACACATAGCGCGTGGTCTGGTTAAATACTACATCTATTTTTTGAGCTGATTGGGAATCTAACCTGCTGTAGACTACCTCAGAATAACAGATAATTGGCATTATAAGTTGGATTGCGAGTTTACGTCTGATTTCTATCGGTGTGAATGGAGCAGACATTCGTAAATTCCTTAAAGTATTATAGACTTTGCCTACAGTTGAATTCACATGGTCAATGCAGGTAACGCCAGTGTTGATAATAAACCCAAGGTTAGTCACTTTTGACACAAATTTAATTGGTTTGCCACCAATGTGTAACGATGGAATAGTTGCTAGGTTAAGACGTTTCTTACAAATAGGTAAAACAAAACACTTGTCACAATTAAGACGAAGACCATTTAACTGTGCCCAGGACCTTATACATAGACATCAGTTCCCTGTTGAAGCTTGCGCACAATTTAGCTGAGTCCTCAAGAGGACCTGACATATAGAGTTGGACATCGTCCGCATAGACATGCATGTTGGCGTGCTTAGAAGTCCGAAATATATCATTAACGAACAAACTAAATAGTAGTGGACCTAAGATAGACCCTTGTGGGACACCCGTGAACAAAGGCCTTTGTTCAGATATTTGAGATCCAACCTTGACACGCTGAGACCTCTTTTTCAAATAGCTACGCATCAGTTATACTGCTGACTCTCCAAACCCAAAGTAGTTTTTTAATTTAAAGCACAGTAGTTCATGGCTAACTGAATCAAAGGCTTTAGAGAAGTCCAGCAAGCATAGTAGAGTTAAGTGGTTCTTGTCGAACAGTATTCTAAGGTCATCAAGTATCTTGAAATGGGGATATAAGGTTGAATTATGTGGGAAGAGATTTGTTCAGATAACAAAGATTCGAAAACTTTAGACAAGGCTGGTAGTATGCTGATGGGTCGAAAATCACTAGGGCTGGATGCGGAATTATTTTTGGCTACAGGAAGCACAGTAGCAATCTTCCAGGCATCGGGAAAACAGGACGTGGTGAGACTATGGTTTATTATGTGTGTCAAGGTTGGCAAAATTATCGGTAAGATTACCTTCACAAATGTAATCGGAATGCCATCCTCCCCGATTGCGTTGGACCTGATCTTAAAAACAGATTTCACCACATCAATCTCGCTCACAGCAATGAACTCAAACTTTTCGCCAGCAAAAGAGAGCGGACAGGAGGCTACAGAATTGGTCGTAAAGGGACAAGATGAAGGGGAGAAGCAAAGGCAACGCTAAGCGTTTCAGGACTCAACGAGCATTCTGATTTCTCACTGGCATGGACGCGGAGTGTTCTTAGATTCCGCCACAATACATTATTAGGCAGTGAGGGATCCAGCTTATTCATAAAGAATTTTTTCTTTTCACGTCTTATAACCGAGGTAGCTTCATTCCTTATTGTTTTGAAAGCACTCCAGCTCTCATCTGTCTGGTTCCTTTTCCATATGTTATAATATTTATTGCGTTTTTTAATCGCTGATCGGACCGCACCATTAAACCAACGGCAGGAAGAAGACCCCTTACAGGATCGGGTAGGGACATGAGTGAAGAACGAATTTAATATATTTTCGTTCAGGAAACGGAGCTTCTCATTGACCGTGCTGAGACCCCAGCAATCGGACCAATTGATCTGCAAGAGGCCACTGAAAAGGTTGTTGACATCTAAGGAACGGTAGTCAAAGAAGTTAAATACATAGGTATTGTCGTCATAGTTATCAAGCTTAACGTCAAAAGAACAAAATATCAAGTCATGATCAGATATAAAAGATATTTGGTCAAATTTCAAAACAATAGAAGGATCAGATACAGCAAAGTAATCTAATAAGCTGGGATAGCAATTACTACCATATCTTGTGGGCACCGACAAATTAACCATAGACAACCCAACACAGGAGATGTCATCTATTAAACGAGTACTGGTAGAATCAGGACATAACAGGTTCACATTAAAATCACCACAAAGAATTATATGGTCATAATCTACAGAAACAGTGGACAGAAAATTAAAAAAAGTCACATAGGCGGAAATACTAGATGTTTTAATTTTTTTATGAGTTATTGTTTAAACAATTTTTAAGTATCAACTCAGAAAAAGATTGTTTTCTAGCGATCTACTTGATGAATCCGGCTGAAATTTGGTATGAGTAATAAATAATAATCAAGCTTTCGAACCAAAAAATGGATCACTATTTATTTAAATAGCAAAAATTTATTTAAAAAAATTAAAATAAAAAACTGTTCCCAATATATTCCAAAACTTTTATGCCAAAATTCAGATTCCTTGTTTTCTGATGAGTAATTAAAAAACAAAAATTTGGAAACTTTCATACGGTCAGAAGTTATGCTACTTTTTTCCTGATGTTCCGCATACACGACCACGTGGGAGCGCCTCATTTGCGCTTCTTACAGCACAATATCGTTATATGCGAATATGGCATGTGAATTCGTGAATAGTACATATCGCACACGATATTCAAAAGTGACACAATTCAAAATTTGGCAATTTAAACTTTATCGATTTTGAAATTATGCGCCAAAAATGTTAAGAACAAATTTTTACTTTTATGTAGAATATTTGCTGAATCAAAAAAACAAGTTGCAGAAACTGTTATGAAAACCGAAGCTAATAAAAAATAAAAATTTGTTCTTAACCTGCACTAATCATATGTATGTATATATTTATTTATACAACGAAACTCACTTATTTGCATATCGTACACGATCTTCAAAGGTGACATAACTCAAAACACGTTTGTCAGAAAATGCGAAAAACTATTTCTTAGCCCATGCTAATCATTTGGGCAAGGGAGACTTTACCTAAGGTTTTTTCAAAAAGTTATAAAAAACTTGCTCCAGCTTGTGCTGAAAGATAAATAAAAGCTATGTGTAAATTTTTGGCGCATAATTTCAAAATGGATAATGTTTAAATTGCCAAACTTTGAATTGATATGTACTATTCACGAATTCACATGCCACATTCGCATATAATGGTATAATGCTGTAAGAAGCGCGCAATTAGGCGCTGCCACGTGGTAGTGTATGCGGAACATTAGGAGAAAAAGTAGCATAACTTCTGACCGTATGAAAGTTTCGAATTTTTTTTTTTAATTATTCATCAGAAAACAAGGAATCTGAATTTTGGTATTAAAGTTCTGGAATATATTGGGAACACTTTTTTATTTTAATTTTTTTTTAATTGTTGCTATTTAAAAAAATAGTGATCCATTTTTTGGTTCGAAAGCTTGATTACTATTTATTACTCATACCAAATTTCAGCCGGATTCATCAAGTAGATCGCTAGAAAACAATCTTTTTCTGAGTTGATACTTAAAAATTGTTTAAACAATAATTCATAAAAAAATTAAAATTTTCCAAAAAAAATATAGAATTCTCATATATGTATATCATAAATTCTACAAAAAGATTAAAAAAAAACATAAATATCTCGACCAGTGTTAATCAAGTGGCCCATTTCAGGAATTTTGACTCATAAGTGATAAGTGCTCTTTTTGTATGAAACTTTGCTAATGAAACTGCAAAGCATTTAACAACAAATTAGTTAAAGACTATTACTAATAAAATGAAAAGAGTGATAAATAATGTAAATATATACGTTTCTTAACATCCCCGCCAAGTTTTATGGGAAAATTCATGACACTAAGTTTTGCTAAAACAACCGAAAGGTGATGTAATGGAAAGTGAACCCAGTCCTTTTTCCTCTTCTACCCCTAGCGGTTTCCGAGTTTAATACTTTCAGAGCTGGAGCATCAGTGTCCATTCGACCGGGATGGCCAAGCCAGCGGAGCCACTGTATTTTAATTCGCTGCCTATATCCATGTTGTAAAGCTCATAAAGCCCATCGTTCCGGTACTCGCCGTCGCCAACGCCAGAGGCCCGTAAATATTCCGCAAAATCATTCTATCTAATACTCAATGAGTAATTCTCCATGCTTCTGCGAACTAAAAAAGTGGTATCAATTCATGGGTGGCAAACATCCGGTGTAGTTTGCACACAGGTTCTCATAAAATTACAATCGCCGTTTGGAGTCGGAGTAAAACTGTAGATACCTTCGCGTTGTAGGGAAACATCAAAGCACGACACAAATCGGAGGAGAAGCTCACCCAAACTTGAACATACATCCCTGTTATGAATTCATACATACACAATAAACGCTTGCATTCTGTTGTGCCGTATTACGAATTAGGTACAATCCGAGGGCAAAACTTCGGCTCGGACCACTATCTTGTTGCAGCCAAAATACGCACCCGCCTCTCTTCAACAAACCGACATACGCAAGCACTGGAGCCACATTTCCCGCTCATTAAGTACCGCCGCCGAAGAAATAGTCGAATTTCAGCGAGCCCGAAAGAATTACTGGTACGATGAGGAGTGTCCCGAAATATGATGAGAGAGAGGCCGAAATACGTGAGTGCTGTCGAGGACATGGACCTCAGCGATTGTCATGGACGAAGCGCGGCAGCTCTGGCACCTCCCTATTATTGTAACTCTTCTAGTACTAAACTCAAAATAACTATTGTGAATCTTGAATACTTTGAATAGGTTGTCTAGTAGGCATGTAATAGCCTGCCTCTCACTTCTTTTTTTGACTTGCTACCAGCCAGACTGCCGCTTCGCTAAATATTCCATTTTTGAAATTCCACTAATTTGTAATCGCTAAACAAAAACCGTAATTAAAGAAAACTTGTATGAATTTAAAGGAAGCAGTTGCGTTTTTCTTTACTCATTGTCCAACTCACTCCAGTAATCATGGATTCGTGATCATGGCGCCCGAGCAAAAATTTTAAAAATTCAGAAAATATCACAATTGGTAACCCTCCCTCTTAATAAAGTACAAACTTATGTACATATATATTTACATACACACAAAGCACATAAGGAAGCTCTCACAAAAAATCTTCAAAAGCGAAGCGGTAAACTTCTTGGCATTAGCTGGCAAACAAAAAGTTACGGTCAGCGGTCGCGTGCGGATGTGCTACTCATTTCGGTGCGGTGTATGTAAAATAAATCCAACTAAAAAACAATTAAAAGTGAAGACTATTAAAAACAATTATAAGTGAATAAAAACAAAAAAAAAACTCGAATTAAAACAAAAAGTTAATTTAAAGTGCGAAGTGAAATATAAACTATTAAACTAATAGACAAAAGGTCTAAGCAAAACAAAAAATAATAAAATTTTCACGGCGCTAACAGAATACCTCCGCCCCCCTTAGCAAAAAATAAAAAAATAAAATTTTCACGGCGCTAGCAGAATACCTTCGCCTCCCCTTAGCAAAAAAAAATATAATTTTCACGGCGCTAGCAGAATACCTGCGCCCCCCCTTAACAAAAAAAAATATATATATATTTTCACAGCAGGCGGAGCAGCCGCACGAAGCAGCAAACTCCCGGACGGTACAGTCTCAAAGGTGGTAAAAAAAAATAAAATAAGGATGCCAAAGTAAGTGCCAATTATATCAATATTATATACAAACATAAGTACATATGTATATTATCACATTAGCGGTTTTCTCATGTTATTACTAACTCGTTGAAAAGTACTCATTCACTTTGGTACGGTACAAGAGAACCTCTATTCCGAGTTTACCGTTTAACGTTATTTTCCATCCACGGGTTTATAGAATCCGCTAAGGTGTACTTATACATATACATATGTGCAAATAAGTCAATAAAAATTCACATACATCCCCTATACTACCTTGCGGGGCAAACAAACTCCCAAAGCATTTAAGTCCCGATTTCTCGCTGGGCAACTGGCACAGTTCCGCTGCTGCACATTTTACATGTACCCATAATCGCTCTCCTTTAGCTGCCCTGTGGTTAGTCTATAAATCATATATATATATACATACACGCACATCAACTACCCCTCGAAGAAAAATAAATAAAAATAATAATAAACATTCGCGCAATTTATATGTACAGTTTGCATGGAATTAGATGTATATACATACGTACACTAGAAAACTAGGGATATCTCTGCATCATCTGTGATAAACTTTATCAAAATATACATAAAGGCATAAGTCAAACAAAATACATAAAAATCACCCTATTATTTAGGAAAATTCGCATTAAGAAAAAAATTAAATTATAATATAAAATAAATAAAAAATAATCAGAGCCACCCTAGCCACCAAATTCCCATATATATATGCTCCAGCATATATACATCTCGCACTCATATAGCTAGCAACTTTATCTCTCAACAATTTTTTAACGAGCGAACAACGCCGTTACTTCATACGTATATACTCCGGACTGTCGTCAGATGCGCTGAAGCGGTACGGTGGGAAAAATAACATAAAATCCACCACACATAACTTGCATGAGATCCCTTCAAGCAAAAAAAATATATTTACCTACATTCCAAAACCGAACTAACGCGAAATATAAATCTAGAGATATCCCATACATACTATTTATCATACATACATATACAAGTATACGTACATAAATACTGGTTGGCGCCACTACTCTCTATCCGTTGCGGTAAACACGCATCCGTACACACGGATATACAAAATATTTAAGCCAACGGTTCGGCAAAGTGTATATGTACATACATATAAATATCTACAGTCGCAATTAGCGCTGCTCTAGCGGAATTGAAAATCAAGTGTACTTTGCTTCTCTCAAAACAAAGGCAAATATACAGACATACATACTGTGACTGTACTCAAGCAGCACAGTGGGACAAGCGCACAAATAACTCGCTTATAATACGGTGTGTCAAAACTCACCAATAATTAAAATTCCCTTAAAAATTTATTATTGAAGTAAATTTAAAAGTTAAAGCCCTCAAATTCTAAAGCAATGACAGAAGATAAGCAGGAAAAACTCGTAGCCGTATTAAGACTCGATCCAAATCTGAGGCAGACGAAGAGGAATTAGTGAATACTTACAAGAAATTCCTCTTTGAAACCTCAAGATTAGACAAATACTGCGAAAAATGGTGGAACATTTGCGAGGCGGACCATTCCGAAGCCGGATTAAAAACATATCTGGAGCAGCTGGATAGGTACATGGCTTTGGTGGACACGGCGCACGAGAACCTCCAGATGAGCACTGCAGAAGAAAAGACGCGGAAATCATGCGAATCGAAGTATGATGCATCCAATGACGCCGGATTGAGCACACGTTTGAGGGTAAACGAACTTCTCAGCAAGATCCAGTCGAAAACAACCAACAACCTCCCACCCTCGATGTTTATGCCCCATAACCAAACCAAACCCGGTAACTATCTCAAGGTACCCGCATGTGACACTGATATCTTCTACGGAGGATATGAGGAATGGCCGTCCTTTAGGGGCATGTTCACAGCGGTGTACATCAAGCATCCTAAACTCTTCCAAGCCCAAAAGCTTTATCACCTGAGACAAAAAACAAGGGGTAAAGCTGGCTTAATTATAAAAAATTACGGGTTAAATGACAACAATTTCGAACTCGCGTGGGATGCTCTGAAATCTAGGTACGAAAACCGTAGGATAGTGGTTGATAACCAAATAAAGACCCTGTTCAATATTCAGCCCGTACATAATGAAAACGGGGAAAAAATCCAAAGTATACAGACAACCATAAACAATTGTCTCTCCACTCTTAAAGCGAACGGTGTGACCACAGAAAACTGGGACCCGATGCTGATTTATCTCTGTTCGTCGAAACTCCCAGACGAAACTATAGCGTTGTGGGAGCAATCTCTAAATTCGCGAAAAGAACTCCCTCTCTGGTCAGAAATGGACCAATTCCTCACAACGCGATATGAAGTTGTGGAGCGTCTCAGTACCTATAGGCCAGGGAAACCAAAAAATTACCCCAACTTCACCCAGCGAACCTCAACCCCAGGAAACCAGATGCACAGCTTCAAAAATAAAACTCACTCCTTCGTGCAAACTGTGCAACTCTAATCACTCCATGATGAATTGCATAAAATTCAAAGAACTTTCGACTTCTGATCGAAATAAATATATAAAAGAAAATAATTACTGCAAGAACTGTCTAGCATATTCTCACTTAGAAAATGAGTGTACAAGCAATTTCACATGCGTGTATTGTCAAAGGCGACACCACTCCCTGCTCCATTACTCGACGAATACCCAAACGTCGGGGGCTCAAAAACCCACTAAGGTAGTCAAGACACCCCAAGTCATCAATCAAACCCGCCTCTCTAGCGCAAATCAGACTACCAAACCTCAAATCAAGCCAAATGCAAACCACAATAGCAAGGAACAAATTCTCTCACATTTCGCGAGTAACAAAGAAAAAACCTTACTACCCAATTTTACATAATGGTGAAATAGTTCAAATCCGCGCCCTTATAGATCAAGGATCTCAAAAGACGTTCGTATCCTCCCGCATACAAAAGCTACTTGGTCTTACAACTAGAAACACACATTATGAAATTCTAGGAATGGGCGGTCGAATAGTCCAAAATTCGAACAAAGTATGTTCAATTACCCCTTGGCTCGTCAGATTTGCAAATCAAAATACCTGCAACTGCGATAATATTGCCTCAACTGACTCATTTCCTGCCCTCAAGAATACCCATCGTTGCCCCTAGCAGACCCCAATTGCTTCGCTCCTGCCAGAATCGATATGGTAATAGGTAGCGACCTTATTCCACAAATTCTACTTCCAGGACTTAAACCTAATGTTGGTGGAAGCCTGATTGCCCAAAACTCCATATTTGGGTGGATACTAAGCGGCCCACTAACAGAACGAATTTCAACATTCTCCACTCAAATAGTTGAGAACCCCGGCGACTCATTAAACGATCTCCTCAGGAGATTTTGGGAGCAGGAGGAGGTTCCAGCGGAATCAATTCCAACGGACGACGACGCCTTCTGCGAGGAGCTATATCAACGGACCACTTTTCGAAGAGGAGACGGACGATACGTAGTGAAGCTGCCATTCAAACCCTCGTTTCCCGAAACAATAGCGTTAGGACACTCAAGACCAGCAGCTCAACAACAATACCTAAGCGTCGAACGAAGCATAGAAAAAAGAGCCGAACTACAACCATATTCGAAAGTTCTGGGAGAATACATTACTCTGAACCATATGGAACCTTGCTCTTCGCATGAGATAGTACGTGACGGCAAGTACTTCTCGTTCTACTTACGCCATCATGCGGTCTTAAAACCCGATAGCAAAACTACTAAGGTCCGAGTAGTATTTAACGCTTCAAAGCTCTCCCACTCCGGCATCTCTCTCAATGACGTTCTCCACACAGGTCCCGTTCTACAAAATGATTTAATGCTCGTAATTCTCAAATCGCGTCTCTACAGATATGTATTTAACGGCGACATCGAATAGATGTACCGCCAAATATATGCGTATGACGAAGACCAGGACTTTCAGCGAATTCTATTTCGCAGATCTCAACAGGGTCCAATAGAGGACTTTAAATTAAAAACGGTGACGTTCGGCGTGAACTGTGCGCCATATTTGGCCATAAGAACCCTCCAAAAGCTAGCCAAAGACTCTCAAGAGGGGTACCCCAGGAGCTCAGAGATATTAACCAAGGAGACATATGTCGACGACATCCTATCTAGAATCAACCCGCGAGTCTTTACAACAGGTCTCCGATACCCTTAAACCAGCGGGGTTTCCTCTCAAAAAGATTACCGCGAATCACAAAACTATCTTAAAAAACGTTCCTCAGTCTGATCTCCTTGAAACCCAATTTCTGCAGTTCCAGGACACTAGTTCTACAAAAACCCTTCGAATAAAGTGGAACGCATTCACAGACACCTTCTCATACTCCGTAGACCCGCTTCCGAACACAATCACGGCCACGAAACGACAGATCCTCTCGTCTGTCGCGAAACTTTTCGACCCGGCAGGGTGGCTAACGCCCATAATGATTGTAGCCAAAATGCTCCTCCAACAACTCTGGACGGAGAGAACAGACTGGGACGAAAACGTTAAGCCTGGAGCATTTTGAAAATGGAACGCTTTCCGGGAAAATCTCTGCGCAATTAAGGAGATATCTGTACCCCGATGGGTACAATCTTCCCCAGATAAGGCAATTCAAATACACGGTATCTCAGACGCCTCCGAGAAGGCGTACTGCGCCTGCGTATATCTAAGAGTTCAGCACGGAGACACATCTATTTCCTCCCAGCTACTTGCGGCAAAGAGCAAGGTAGCCCCTCTGCAAACTGTGAGTCTCCCCCGTTTAGAGCTGTGTGCGGCAGTTCTTCTCTCCAAAGTAGTGATACAAATTCGATCGCAACTGGATTTGCAAGCTCATGAACTTACTTTGTGGACCGACTCCTCCATCGTGCTCGCTTGGCTGGAAAAACCACCATGGACCTGGAAAACCTACGTGGCCAACAGAACATCCCAAATCCTCAAAGATGTCAACAACGCTACGTGGCGCCACGTCTCCACCACCGAAAATCCAGCCGACTTAGGAACAAGAGGATCCCGACCGCAAGATTTGGTAGAGTGCTCGCTTTGGTGGAAAGGCCCGGAGTGGCTAACAAAGCCTCCTGCGTGTTGGCCACAAGTAACGCCGAAGAGCTCTACTCCCCCTGAAAAGAGGCAAATGGAAACGTTTCACGTGACAGAAGGCGACGACCTCATCGATCGCTTCTCTTCCTTCTCCAGAGCCCTCAAACTAGTTGCGTACATGTATCGTTTTATTAAAGGAACACAGAAATCATCAGTTCCCCCCACTACTTCCTTATCCCATGAAGAAATAAATCAGGCCAAATTACGACTCATAAAAACCACTCAATATAAATATTACGGACAAACTATTGTAGACTTGGAGACAGCCAAGCCAGTCAGTAAAAAATGTTCTTTGTTTTCTCTGAACCCCTTTCTCGATAAACATGGCCTTATGCGCGTGAATGGTCGTCTATCCTACACTGCTCTGACGTATAACGAACGTCATCCAATCATAGTTCCAGATAAATCCAGATACTGTACTCTTTTCCTAGATTTTCTTCACTACACTCTACAACATGCTGAAAAACAGCTGATGACACGCATGGTTCAGCAGGAATATTATATCCCACGACTCAAGCTAAAGGTGAAGACTTGCATTTTTCACTGCAAGGTATGCACGGTACTCAAGCAGAAGATGCACTCCCAAATGATGGCTGCCTTACCACCAGAACGGTCGACATACTCGCTCCCATTTCACACTACTGGTGTCGACTTTGCCGGCCCATTTATGGTTAAAACGTCAACCCTACGACGAGCGTCATACTCCAAAGCCTATGTGTGTGTTTGTGTGTTTCTCCACCAAAGCCATTCATCTGGAGCTTTGTTCCGACTTGACCACTGAAGAATTCAAGGCGGCGTTTGCCCGATTCGCCGGTCGTCGAGGGATCCCCAAGAAAATCATGCCAGACAATGGCAAGACGTTCATAGGAGCACATAGATCTATTCAGAGGGAATTCTCCACTTTTGTCCACGAAGTCTCAAAGGAAGTCGCTGAAAAGTATAGCTACCATGGCCTTTCATGGCAGTTTATTCCCCCATACGCTCCTCACATGGTAGGATTGTGGGAAGCTGCGGTTAAGAGCTTCAAGACCCATCTGCTAAAGGTCGCTGGAAATCATCATTTCACTCTTGAGGAGTTCACCACTCTCCTTGTGCGCATTGAAGCGGTGCTTAACTCCAGGCCGTTATCATCCATGTCACAGGATCCTAGCGACTTACTTGCACTGACTCCAGGCCACTTCCTTCGCGGCGCCCCAATCCTTTCAGTCCCTGAACCTAACCACGAGAATCTCTCTCTTATTAACAAATGGCAAAAACTCAAAGTACTCCATCACCAATTCAGCACACGATGGAAAAACGAGTATCTTAAGGAGCTGCACAAGAGGCATAAATGGAAGGGGCAAGAGCCGAACATGAGAGAAGGAGATCTAGTTGTCATTAAAGACGACCTCCTACCCCCCAATGAGTGGCGCCTCGGACGCGTCACAAAATTACACCCCGCTCCTGATCAGAATATTCGCGTCGTGGACATCCGCACCCAAGCCGGAATTGTCACGCGAAGCATAACGAAGCTCTGTTTACTACCACCTGCTTAGCCCAATCGCCCTATCTGTAGCTTACAAACTCATAACCACTACATGTCATAACATACTCATCCCCGCTTTACACTTGTCCGCATTAATTTTCTTCACAACTAACAACGTACTTCGATGTATCTTTACAGATCCAGAGAGGAGTTATCCAAGTGTCGGCTCTGTTGTCGCAACCACTCGTTGTAGATCTGCAAAGCCTTCCTCGCCATGACGCCGGGCGAACGATTGGAATCAGCACGGGTGCATCACTACTGTGTGAACTTCCTGGCCACCTCCCATGCCACTGGGTCGTTCGACTCCCGACGCAGTTGTCGTCGATGTGGTCGAGCACATCACACACTGCTCCACCGCACCTTCTCGCCTCCACCAAGCCGCAAAATTTAAATCAAGGAGAGGCATCCGAAGGGCCGCTTCTAGCCTCCAAGCCCGAATTGAGCGCGCGAGGAAGATGAAAAAATTGATCTCCAAGACATTGGCAACGTTGGAGGAGCTTCAGGAGTTGTTGCTGCTCACCACTCCGCAGGCCCGCCGGCATGTCGAGGACATGGACCTCAGCGAGGCTTCAGTTTAAATTTGTTTTGTTTGTAAATATTGTCATGGACGAAGCGCGGCAGCTCTGGCACCTCCCTATTATTGTAACTCTTCTAGTACTAAACTCAAAATAACTATTGTGAATCTTGAATACTCTGAATAGGTTGCCTAGTAGGCACGTAATAGGCTGCCTCTCACTTCTTTTTTTGACTTGCTACCAGCCAGACTGCCGCTTCGCTAAATATTCCATTTTTGAAATTCCACTAATTTGTAATCGCTAAACAAAAACCGTAATTAAAGAAAACTTGTATGAATTTAAAGAAAGCAGTTACGTTTTTCTTTACTCATTGTCCAACTCACTCCAGTAATCACGGATTCGTGATCAAGTGCGAAGAGCTTGAAACACTGGCCGACAGGAATAACGTCCGAAAATTTTATCAGAGAGTAGGCGACTTAGTGAAGGTTTCAACACCAGGGCGAACTCCTGTAAGAAAAACCATGGCGACCTAGTGACTGATGTCCAGAACGTAGTTAAATTATAGAGGGAACACTTTTCCACCCTACTGAATGGTAGCAGCACTGAAAGTAGTGGGGAAAACGAAAGCGAGCCCCTAGTCGATGACGATGGAGTCGACATCCCACCCCCGAATATGACGAGGTACGAATAGCGACTACGTGGCTGAAAAACAGCAAAGCGGCTCGAGCTGACAGCCTGCCAGCCGAGCTATTCAAGTACGGCGGCGAAGAGCTGCCAAGGTGCATGCATCAACTCTTATGCAGAATATGGTCAGATAAACGTATGCCCGACGACTGGAATTTAAGTGTGCTCTGCCCAATCCACAAAAAAGGCGCCAACTATGGCGGGATCAGCCTTCTAAGCATAGATTTTAAGGTCTTATCGAGTGTATTGTGTGAAAGACTGAAGCCCACCGTCAACTAGTGATGTGCGGAATTGTCGGTACCCAATACTTTACAAAAATTTCGGTATCCAATACTTCCTATTCGGCAGCCGAAACCGATTCACTGCATTAAACCTAAGGCACTTCGCACATTAAGCGCCGAATCATAGTAGTGTAATCGAACACATGTATTTCAATGAAGCTCTGTACATTACGATTCATAATCATGTTTTCGCCTAATCATAAAAGCTTCATAAATCGAAGCGCCCAACAGTGTAAGGCGCTTGCCGTTTTGAAATCGTCATCTGTTTACTGTTTTGTGTTGGAAATAAAATTTATTCGTCATTTTGGGAGGAAGTAAATAAAAATTAATGATTTCGAGCTGAAATTCGTTCAAATGGTATTGAACCATAGGTGTTTATGCAATATTTCACTGCAAAAATATTTGCGGAAGTGTGTAATTGAGAAAGAACGGGCAGAGAGTGTATAATGTGTGGTATGTTTTTATTAGCTGGTGACTAATGTATGGCGCGCAAGTGTGCAGAAGTCGAGTCGTCATGCATTCGTTTGGGTATGACGAAACGATTACACTACTATAATTAGGCGCGTAATGTGCGGAGTGCCTAAGTCACAATATGCATTTGAAGTTTGGAAAAAAATTATTTCACCTAAAAAACACAAAAGTTAAAAATAAGACGATGCTTTTCTTAAAAGATGAAAAACCTTTGACACATTATTAGACCTTTTAATGCGTTATACCTATGCTAGTTCTCTCTTCAAAGAAGACTTATTAAGATTTGCGTTGTGGCGAATGTGTACTCTCGAAATTCTGGTTGGGTAAAATTTTAGAGTAAGGGAACGTGATATTTAGGTGAACCTCCGTAAGATTTTTTATGGAAATCCCCATTCCAGTTCTTATTGCATCACTGTCATAAAACCTATTCGGAAAATTTATATACATACATTTATTATTTTATTCACGATTATAGGCTGCATCTATTAGCCCCGTATGCGAGGCTCCCCTGAACTGGTTTTATTCCATATTTTTGGCTGTTGTGCGCTCCTAATAGAAATTTCAACCTATCGGTACCGAGTATCGAAAGTATCGGATACTTTTCAAATCGCTACCGAGTATTGATCATAGGGAATTCGCACGAGGCGATTTTACAGGCAACAAAAGTTGAATACGTAGTTGAATGAGAAGTTGAAAGTGAAAAAGTTGCCATCCCTATTCAGACGAGGCGATTTTGGATTCAACACGAATCGTTATTTACATTATTGAAAATCAATTTAAATCGCAAAATTTTATCAATTGGCGTAAATTTGGGAAGCCAAGCGTTGGTAGAAGTGCTTTTAGCGAAGCTGAAAGATAAAATAAGAGTAAAAAAGTAAAAAAAAAAAAAAAGTATGTATACAGAACAGTGTTGGCATTTTTGGTACAATTGTACTTGTTTGATACAATTTCATTTACAATATACTTTCCTACTACGCAGTACTTTTTAGTAAAATTTTGTAATGAATACTAAAAATATATAGCTCTGAAAATTCACAGTTCGCCTGTTCGTATTTACCTTTGTAAGTTTTGAAAAATGGCTTGAACGAACCAGTATAACATAGCCTAGCCAAATTTTTAAAGAAACTTTTCGATATTAAGTTTTATTAAAACAAAATGTCAAAGTCAGCTTCATATAGAAACAAAGTCTTCGTTAGTTATAAGAAGAGATTTTCTTAAATATAATACCTTTACGGCACTCACATATTGACAAGGTTTTACTATTTATTTTATTCTTCTTTAATTTTAATTATCTGTTTATAAACTATAATGTATTCTTTAAGAAAAACTGTATAAACCCAAGATTAAATCTTTGCGAAACATCCAAAAACCAACATACTGTCGTAAAAATTTCGAGCTTTATTAATATTCTTTAGTTTTTAGCCCATTCAATTTTAGTATAATAAAGTGCAAGTTTAAAGTAGCTGGGACTTACCGTTGAACTTGGCAATTTTGTTTTGTCGACGATGTCAGCCATTTTCTTCCATACGAAAGGTGTTCGGACGATTTTTTTATATGGAGTAACTTAGCAACACCTTCATCAAAGAAATCTTAAAAAGTTAGTTATATTAAAATTTAATGGGCTAAAAAACCACAAACTCAAAATAAATCTAGGAAATCGAATTAAATAGATCGAAATTTTTACGAAAGTGTGTTGGTTTTTTTAATGTTGCACAAAGTTTGAACCTTGGATTTGTACGGCTTTTCTTAAAATATAAAGCGTATTTGTACAAAAAATAATTAAAATTGAATAATATTAAGATAAATGGTCAAATCTTCTCGTAAAGTTTTGATAAGCACTTGAAATTCTATTAAAATGTCAAATTTTAGTACTGAATCCAAAGAAAATGTCTCTTTTATCCATTAATAATAACTTAAATATGCTTTTTGTTAAGATGTATACCTGAAAATGGTGCATACATATTTGCGTTAAATGCAATACATGTGCACGTGGAATCAATTTGTAAAAGTGTAAAATACGTAAACGTATGTACATAAACAATAAAACTCTCTCATGAATACCATAAAATCATTGGTCTTGAAGGGAATGTACTAAGAAAATATATGAGCGAATTAAAAAGTGTATACAATTTATAGCCGAAAAGTACATTTTTTGTATAGATTTCGTACTGAAGGAACAATTTCATAACCCAACACTGATACAGAATGTAAACAAACACAGGGTTGCAAGGAAAAAAAGTTGAACGAGCTCAAAGTTGGCTTGCGACCAACTTTGTTGAAAGCGATTAGTTGAAAGGCCGTTCGGACGAGGCGATTTTTGCTTTCAACTAAAAGTTGCCTGAAAAATCGCCTCGTGCGAATGCCCTATCAATACCTAAAAGTAGCGACTCAGCACAGCACTACCGTCAGCGAACTGATTGGACCTTATCAGTGTGGCTTTAAACCTGGCAAATCCGCCATAGATCAGGTATTCACAATACGCCAAATCTTGGAAAATACCCGAGAGAATAGGATCGACACGCGCCATCTATTTGTCGATTTCAAAGCCGCTTACGACAGCACGAAAAGAAGTTGTCTTTATGCCGCGATGTCTGAATTTAGTATCCCGGCGAAACTAATACGGCTGTGTAAAACGACGTTGAGCAATATCGTCAGCTTTGTCAGAATTGGGAAGGACCTCTTCGAGCCGTTTGATACCAAACGAGGTTTAAGACAAGGTGACTACTTTTCGTGTGATTTCTTTAATCTAATGTTGGAGAAGATAATAAGAGCCACAGAACTGAACCACTCAGGCACGTATGTCGACCTCATCGATACTGTCGGAGAAAGTAAGGGCTACGTCTTTTCTGCCTAGACGACTTCGTTTATTTGGGAACCATCATTAACACCAATAATAATGTCAGCTTTTAAATCCAACGGAGAATCACTCTTGCCAACAAGTGCTACTTTGGAGTGAGTAGGCAATTGAGAAGTAAAGTCCTCTCTCGTCGTACAGAGATCACACTCTATAAGCCACTTATCATGCCTGTGCTGGTGTATGACGCGGATGCAAGGACAATGAAACGGCTCTTGGAGTTTTCGAGGGAAAGATTCTGCGAAAGATTTACCTTTACGCGTTGGCGATGGCGAATATCGCAGACGATTTATCGATGAGCTGTATGAGCTTCACAACGTTATACCCCCTATTATGAATTCGTACGATGCACGATAAATGCTTACATTCTGTTATTCTATATTAGGAATTGATTGTGTCGTATGAAATCCGGTAGGTAGCGTAGCTGATTTGTGCTGGTTCGCAATAAAAAGTGAACAAAAACCAGAGAACGTATATTTATAGAGAAGGTCCAAGAACTGTGAATGCCACATTTTTCGAGCCAACTAAACTGGCGAAGCGAATTTTAGGACGACAAATATTTGGAATACTTAACAGCGAATGCAAAATACAAAGCAGAAAAGAAGAATGTTAACAGAGCTAAATCTCACGAGAGCATTTGGAATGTTAATTAAATATGAATATTGATGATTTTTGTTATATTTTGGGAAAATTTTCAAATAGAAAACCCAAGTAAAAGAAATTAAATTTTTTTTCAATGATTTGTACAAGTAACATGAAATTAAATCGAAAATAGTATAAACATTTTCCGACTTTTGTGATATTTTATTAATAATTGCAGATAGAAAAGTCCCATGAGTGTTTGTGTTTTTTGTGAAAATATTGTTTGATAAAAAAATCCCTTTTTTCGGTGATTTCTACAAATACCGTGAAAATAAATCGAAAATGTTATATAGCATTTTTTCGATTTTTGTAATATTTTGTTATATTTTCAATTATAAAACTTTATTAGTATTAGAGTTTTTAGGAGAAAAAATAATTTCTTCTCGGTGATTTGTACGCACAACGTTAAAGTAAA